CAGGGAAGAGGTTAAAACAGAATATATCTGTGAAATCATGTCCACAAAAGCCATATAAGACTCAACGGAACCCACAGGAGTAGCATGGGAAGACACAGTAAATTCAGGTGGAGGAAAAATGCTGACAAAACCATCATTGTCTTAAACAGGTCCAGCTTGTTCAGGTGGAAATTGGGCAAAATCAGGAGAAGAAGGCTAGTTCAAATAACAATCAGTCTCTCGATGTATGATTGCTGATAATTTCAAAGTTGAGTTACCCCTACCTGAAGCCTGAGTAAATGTGCTGGTAGAATGTACAACCTCCAAGGTGGTAACATTTATTTCAAAATTCATAATGTAAACCAAACACAACTGTGTAGGTAAAGAAAGACAAACATGGAAAATTAATTAATTTCCATAACTGGGATTTGAAAGTAAAATAATACCACTAAGAAATATTACAATGGAAATTATAGGTTGTAAACTAGAGATAAATGCTCCAAAAATTCAAATTAAATTTGAGAGAGAGCTAAATAAAACATCTTAACACAAGCACTGTCAAATGAAAAGTGATAGTTTGGTAAAATAGCATAGAGAGAGTCAAAAGTCACGTGTGCATGAGGCACTTCTATTGGTGCAGGTTTGTTGCATGACAATTTGCATGAGTGAATCAGTTAAACCACGTGAACTGAGAAGTTACATATGAACAAAAGGCTTGTAGCATGCAAAAAAAATGTTGCAAATAGAGGGCAGTACTGAACAAGAATAGTTATGTATGAGAGAAGAAGTAAGGTAACTTGTCGGAATTAGCATTATCAAGTACTTCATAATTCAAAGTTTTATATTATCTAAGTTTTTATTCCTTTATTTCAAAAGAAACCTCTCAAACAATAATAACAACTTCAGTTTTGTTGTTACATGACACACTCAAGATTAAAACTTAACTTTTGTTTCTTCTATTTCAGCTCTACAGTGTCTAATGTACACATTTTTCTAGAGAATCAAAGTACAAAAGCTTCATTACCACTAACTTGCTTCAAATTCCATGAAAAAAGTCAGAAGTCTTCTCTTCTCTGTTACGTATTAGAATTTCAAATAGCCTGAAATTCAGTTAACTGATAAATTTAAATTTAGTAGTTTAATTACACTTTGGATTTAGTAGTTAAGTAAAAGCAGATATATAGTCAGTTTATAATATTTGCCAACAAGATTGATACACACCGTCTTCATTTTTAATACAAATATGTTTTAATATACACATAACAGTACAATTTACAATAACAATTATTATAAATAGTCATTACAAACAATGATTTATAAACAAAAGTTTCACAAACTTACAAGCAATATGAAGTCTTCTTTCCAGTTTGGAACTTCTTTGATATCTTAACGAGGGTTCACGATAAGCGAGTTAATTATGTAGGTATGATTTGCAGAGAAACTAACTGGCTTTGTCCTTTGCCACATACGCTAGGTTTTCTACCGTTGAAGTTAGGTAATGTTTTCGTAAAAATACAAATGTTCGATGAGAATCCACTGAAGTTAAATGAGTTATAATGTTCGAACTTTGTAAATGCCTCGTGGTACAAAT